GCTGAGCAGGCTGAGGAGGAGGAGGAAGAGGAGGGGCTGGTCTTGCTGTCTCGGGGGTGGCAGAGGCAGAACAAAATCCACACAGAAGTGGCTCGAACCCTCAGTTCAAACACACAGATCAGAGGGTGGCGGGTCCCAGAACGCCCTATGCAGTAGGTACTAGGATTACTATCACCCTCGCTTTATAGATGAGCAAACGGAAGCACAGGGCAGTTGGGTGACCTTGCCAAGGTTATGCGCGAACGTGGGTGAGCCGGGATTCGAGCCTGGGTGGTCTGGCTCCGTGGAAACTCCCACGCTAGAGCCCCAGGACGGCCCCTGGGTGCCAGCGCCCCCGATGAGGCTGCAGCGGCCTCTCACGCAAGGAAGGGGAATAGCGTTTACCAAGGGCCTTCCAGGTACAAAACGCTTCAGCGTACATTTTTCTAATTTAATCCTGTGAGTTGAAGGAAACTTTTTAGGGAACGAAACATGCAACATTTAGTTAGTGACGTGACTGGTTTGAATCAGAGGAGCTTTGTCCGCATTTTTAAATCGGAAAAATAACAACATCAGAGTAGACTTGGAAGTTACGAGGGTCGGTCGAGAGGCTTCACTAACAAAGGGCTCCTTCCAGCTGTTCACACCTGATCACACGACAAAACCGTCATCAGAAAGACTTCAGGGAAGAGACCGTCAACGTGCTTTCTCCCCCTGCAAGAACCAGCCAGAGACAAGCATTTGCTATAAAATTATCTGGGTTTAATCACTATCAACATCAGAACCGCAGAACATTAAAGTACTAAACCTGTATGTACAATTACACAGACGAAAAATGTTCTTTGTGAGGAGCAATTTTCAGCACATCTTATAGACAGCAAGAGCCATTCCTATTTTGGATTTGAAAAGAGAAATGGAAATTTCCAAGATGCCCCCCTCCCCCGGCGCCAGTGACCCCGGAACAGCAGTGCGCAGAGGCCTGCGGTCGGAAGGGAGGCACTCACACTGTCAGGCACCCGTTCCTCCCCTCTCGTGGCAGGGAGGAATTTTTAGGAAACGCTTTTCATCATTTATTACACTGATGTTCCATCCATCTGCATCATTAGGTTCAGTGGTTACCATGACAATATGATGCCTACAGCAATCTAACTTGATAGCCACACACCAGAATGTGAAAAAATAGGACCGGCTAAGAAAGTGCGAGAAATAGAATTAATCTGAACCACACAGAAAATGTGCATAGAACTGGCACCAAGAGGATCACTGCCGAAATGTCACTGAAGAGGGGATTATGAAGGGCGGCAATCATCAAATTTCAGTGTGAAAACTTTGCTAACGGGTCGTGTTGCTTCCAGCTGGGGGACCGTCAGGGCCCTACTTCTCTCAGGGTGTCTGCGGCCACGTCACTCTGCTCGATTCCAGTCTGCTGTTAGGTCCAGAGTTTCCGTCTGACAAAATGATTCCCATCACTCTTCAGTCTTGGGAGACGCTGTCCCCTCGCTTTCTAAGTGCCCGGTGGAGGCAACAGGCGAGCACGAACCTCCGGAGGTCACGAGCATGGCAGGGGCGGGGAGGCTGAGAGGAGGGGCAGCGTCGAAGCGGCGCTCCTCGGCGATGGGCCTGGGACATGTGGCGTCCTCACCATGGCTGGGCCGGGTAGCGGCGCTGCGCGAGGCGGTTTGGCCGGTTCTGGCTGGTGGCCGTGGGCATCTGGAAGAGAAGAACAAACGTCACACTGGTGCGCAGACCCAAGCACGACTCCCCCTAGAGCTGCCCAGACGGATGGAGCCAGGCACCCTGAGCCTCTGTCTAGAACACTTCCCAGGGTTGTGTTCTAATTATCCACCTTCACCTCCAAAATATAACGGAAAGAAGTTTATAAACAGGGGAGGCCAAATGATACATCAGCGGGGTTAAGTCCACCCAGATCACGGAGGAACAAGCTCAGCTTGTCTCAAAGTGCGCGACGATCCCTCATCCCCAGGACAGAGTGACGTACACCCACGCCACTGCCACCAACACCAGCTGTGTCCCTTGTATCTCGAGCCTTGTTGGAGGTCAAGAGCAGTATCAATAATAGACACATTTATTGAGCACTTTCTGGCTACAGGCCCTTCCCCTGCGTATCTGTGAGGTAGCTGCTACTAGCCCCATTGTACAGATGCAGAAACTGAGACTTAGAGAGGTTAAACAAATGGCTCAAGAACTCACATAGAGTCAGTGGTAAACTAGGACTACAAAGCCAGGTCTCCTGAATCCAAAACCTGTGCCCCTGTCCCCTCCTTCCGAGGGCTTCTTTACCTGAGGGACCTGGGACGGGTTGTAAAGGGGAACAGCCGCTGTGGAGGAAGGAGGAGGAAGCAGAACACCAGGGCTGCAGAAGAGCGCGGAGGAAACACCCTGCCGAGGAAGAGAAGAGAAAATCCTGTCGAGCCTGTCGCCGGGTTCCAGAATGTCAAGAGCATGCCTGAGCGCCGGCTCCGGTCAGGGGGGGGTTTCCTGTAGAGCTCAGGGAACCTCAAGCAGACAGACGTGCTTCGAGCATAACCAGCCCCTGGGTCTGTCGTGGCAACGCTGGCAAGAAGAAAAGGCCCCCGTCGATTATGTTAATATCGTCGTAAAAAGTGATACACGTTCTTCGAAAGGCCTACACCGGTATGTTAATACCGCCAGAGCACTCTGACCAGGCTGTAAGAAATAAAACCGTTTTCCTAACAATAGGCATGAAAATCACACCACGCAGACGACTCCCCAGGAACGTGTCATGGCCTCCGGTGAGCTCCGGCCCCCCCGGACAGGGAAAGAGGCCGCTCCCCAACCTCACCTAAGGAAGCTGCTACCGGCTAAACTGAGTCCCCGCCCCCCAAACTTCATGTGTCGCAGCCCTGGCCCCAGCGCCTCCGAATGTGGCTGTATTTGGACGGAGGTCTTTAAAGAGGTGATCAAGGCACACTGAGGTCCTACTGCTCGGCCCCAATCCAGCAAGACTGGCAGCCTTCCAAGAGGAGGGGTCCGGACACAAACGTGCAGTGGAGGGCCCTGTGAAGACGACGACAGACACCTGCAAGCCAAGGGGAGAAAAGAGGAAACAGCCCCGGGGACACCTTGATCTCAGACTTCCAGCCTCCGGAGCTGGGAGAGAATAAATTTCTGCTGTTTAAGCTTTCTAGTCCGCGGTACTTCGCTACGGCCGCCCGAGGAAACTGAGGCGGGCGCTTTCTCCACCTCCCCACGAGCGAGCCCCTCGCAGGGCAGCCCCTCCGGCCCCTCCGAGGGCTCAGGCCCCCGCCGTGGCTGCTCACCTCGGGCCCCGACGAGCCCCCGATCTCAACGCCCACGGCCGCTCCCCCGCCGGGTGCAGACTCTCCTCCTTCACCCCCGCCTGGGAAGCACCAGTTAGAGCTATTTCCTCTGCTCAGGACCGAGGCCCCCACTCCCAGAGGGCACCCCCCACCCTCGGTAGTGCCACGCGGACCACAGGTGGGCAGTACCTGCGCCCCTGGAGAAGGCGCCAGCGCCCGGCGGTGGGGACCCGGGGGGAGGTGTCGGTGAGAGGCCCAGGCTGGCCCGGGGGGCAGAAGATGTCCTGGGGCTCTCCTGCTTTTCCGAAAAAGAAAGGCAGCACCGGTGACACTGGTGGCCGGCAAGTTCGTGCCAGCCTGCTTGTGTTCCTGTACCCATGGCGACAGCCTCGCCTGCAGCCCAAGCGCCGTTCCTCCAGCCGCTCCTCTGCTCAGAAAGCCACCCGGCCGCCCACCGCCGGCCCTTCGGGTTAAGCTCTCCACCCTGGCTCCCGCGGCCTCACACCCTGCCCTGCCCTCGCGCGACCAGCGTCTCTGCCACAAGCCCCCGTCAGGAGGCCCCATTTCACTCGGACTGGGCAAGGGCCAGGTGCCAGCGCGAGCGCCGAGGCGCTGGGCAGCGTCCTCTGAAGGCCCACGGCAGAGGCGGCCCCTGCCCCCCACAGGGTCACCTCAGAGTCGGGACTGTCCGACGCGTCTCCATCTCCAGAGGGGGACACGGTGGTGGGCTTCGATCGAAACCAGCTGAACCAGCCAAAGCCCGAGCTCTGGAGGAGGAAGAGGAATCTCTGTGGCCTGTAGACTGGCTTCTCCCTTGACCAGGATCAACCCGCCAGCGCGACAGTGGGGGGGCGGGGGGCAACCAGGGCCCAGGCTCAGCTCTGCCCCACCACTGGGGAAGGGCCGGCAGGGACAGGGACGAGAGAAGAACAGTTCCCTCCACCTTTGTGCTCGCTTCCCCATCTCCTGGCTTTTCTCTCCGTGCGGTATTTTGGGAAGGTTTTTCATCAGCTTCATCGGAGGCCTCCTCCTCATCCTCCTTGACAGAAATGGTGGAACTCTCGGAAACGCTTCGCGCTCTGGGAACCAGCGGTGCCTGGAAGCAAAGAAGATAAGAACTCACACGTGGATGGCACTTGGCAGGCTGCGAAGCACGTTCATGTATCCGCGCCCACCGGCCCTGCTCGGCAAGTGAGAGCGCGTGTCCTGATGAGCAAGTGCGGCGCAGGCTGGCCGGAGGGCTCAGGGTGAGGTCAGAGCCCGGACCCGTCCTCACGCCAGCCCCGGTCTCACGGAGCTTGCTCTGCCCTCCTACCTCTCCAGAAACGTAGACTTTCCGGAACTACGCCAGGCCTGGAGCGGGGGGGTGCGGGTGCTAGCGCAGAGAGGAGGAGCCAGGGGACACCCCGCAGAGCCCCGCAAACCCCCAAAACAGAGACTGTAGCAAACACCAAACCTGACTCATCTTAGAGCTCACTTCCTAACAGACTCGCTCAAGATCAGCTGTGAACGTACGCACCAAAAAGGATTAAAATACACCCCTGCCCTTGTATAGTAACTTTACTATGGCAAAGTACACCTAGCGCAAAGTTTACCATTTTTACCATTTTAAGTGCACGATTCAGTGACTCTAAGTATGTTCACAATGTTCTACAACCGTCACCACCATCCGTCCCCGAACTTTCTCATCTTCCCCAGCAGACGCTCTGTACCCAGTAAACACTAACTCCCCACGTCCCTCCCCAAAGCCCCTGGTCACCTGTCTCTACCTTCTGTCCCCGAGTTTGCCTATTCTATGCATCTCGTATTAAGTGGAATCATACAAGCATAGCGCCCTTATATTCACATTCTGCCCTCTCAGTAAGGCATGGTTGGTACAAACTTTGGAAAACACTTTGGGAAAACAGAGAAAAAGCTCCATTTTTTATTCAAATGACTATAGTATTTAAAAGCGCGCCGGGCCCTGTTCTAAGTGCTTTATATATAATTATATATACATAATTCGTTTGATCCTTACAACTGTCCTGTGCGGTAGGGACTGTTACTGTCATCTCATTTCACATATGAAAAAGCTAAGGCACGGAAAGGTGAAGACCTGTCGAAGGTCACACAGCCAGGAAATGGCAGAGCAAGGGCTCACACCTAGGCCACCTGCTTTTCCTCCTGGGAGCATCTCCTGGTTGAGTGATTCAGGACACAGACACGGGCTTATGTATCAGGACGCCCATCACTACGTGTATTATATGCGAGCGAATAAAGGCAGGAAGCGGGGGAGGAACAGAAAGGAAGGCAACATACTCAAAATGCGTAAGGACGTGGGAACGACCAACTGAAACACGAGCTCCTGGAGGCCTCCTGTCCTCGTGGCCTGCTGCCTCCCGGCCCTGTCTCAGCCGTCCCCTGCTGCTCCTCACTCTCCGGGCACGGTGGGCCCCTGGCTCTTCCTTAATCGCACCGAGCGAGCTCACTTGGTGGCTGTGCTCTTGCTGTCCCCTCTGCCTGAACACCCGTCCCCTAGATACCCACCTGGCTCATTTCCCAGCTCCCTTCTGATCTGGGCTCGAAGGCCTCCGCAGAGCCGCCTTGCTTGACCGCCCCTCTAAAGTAAGACGCCCCACACGTGTGGCTGCCCCTCTCAGTCGCCTCCGCTGGACCTGAGCACCACGAGGCGGGCTGTGTCTGACCCAGTGATGCTCCCCAGCCCCCGGGACGGTGCCGGGCCGTTGTGGGAGCTCAGCGGATATTTGTGAACAAACGAATGGATGACTGGGCTGCTTCCGTGCAAGGGCTTTTGTCACGCCAAGATTAAAAATCGTATTTATAAATGACACAGACAATCTCGCTACATAGTATTAAATAACGAATAGGAAATAAAGCTTTATATACATGTGTTCTCGACCATTTAAAAACATGTATGTATAAATATATACATGTATACACATATATGCATACATTTGCATGTATATGCATATATTAAAAAATATTGGAAGGGAAGAACTGAAATATTTGACTGTTGGATTAAAAGTGATGTTTGCTTGATTCTTTACATGATACTTTATTTTTAAATTTGTTTATAATAATAATGTACCACTTCTTTAGTCAGGAAAAAAAACAGTACAACGTAAGTTTTTTAAGACCTGTAGCCCTGATTCTACGTGAAACAGTGACGTTGCAACCCCCTAACCAGGCGAGGCTAAGGGACATCTGAGGTTTGGGGCCAGCGCTGCCCGCTGTTGAGGGCAGAGTGACATCAGTGAGCGGCGAGATGGAATAATTAACGAGCCTGGTCCCTGCCGAGACCTTCAGCCTGGCTGAGGAGAAACACATGGGCAGGCGCATGCAGCTACCGCAGGCCTTCCTTTGACACACAGCCAGGCATAAGCTGAAACGAGGACATAAACACCGAGCCTTGAGGACGGGGAGGGCGCAGCGAGCGTTCGGCGCCCGGTCAGAAGACATCAGAGGGCGCAGAGACCTGTGCAGCCAAAACCCACCCCAGCGCCGTGGCTCCTGCCCCCCGTGGACACGGGCCGGTGGGACTGAGCGTGAACGAGAACGCGGCCTCCTGCCCTCGCCCGGGGCTGCAGGAAGGAAGCAGGGGCGAGGAGCAGAGAGCCGCTGTGCGCCGGGGAGGAGCCGCGTGCGGCCGAGAGGCCGGGGCAGGCGGGAAGAGCCGGAAGCGTCAGCGTGGGCGTCGGCTTCTTGCGCGCTTTGCCCTCTCACCTGTGGTTTGGAAATGACCCTTTGGCCATCAGGATGCTGGGAGGTTTCTTGGGACACCGTGTTCTCTCCTGTAGCACAAAACAAAAACAAGAACGGAACTGGAAGCTGGGTGGACGCAGTCGGCTTTCCTAACCGCAGCGGAAGCTCAGAGGCCGTAGCCCGGCAGATCACGGTAAATGCAAAGCTGGCTTGCCCCGTCCTCTCGACGCCAGCCACCCCGGGACCTGCTGGGCAGCCCGGCCTCTGCCCCAAGGTCGTTCCTTAGGAATCTTGGCAAGCAGAGCCATGTGGAGCTGCGGCACGGGGCGCCTGCACCCCCTTCCCTCGGTTGGCATCTCCCTCTTGAACTGGACCTTATCCTAGAGGGTCTACGTGGCCTCCGGCACGTCCCTGGCACCACCCAGCCTTGCTCACCCACACTTGGCCCCTGCTGCCCAAGCTCTGATGGGCCTGAAGAAACTTAGGACCAGGACAGAAACCGGGGTTCTGCTGGAGTCCCTGCCGGCGGGATCCCGGACGCAGCCTGCAGAAAGAAGACTCGGCCTGCGCTAGGTGCACGTGAGGTGCAGGCAGCACGGTCTTCACTGCCCCGCCCTGCCATCTCTCCCCGAGAAACCGCGCCACGCCAGGGAAGGCCAGGAGTGCCTGCCGCTTGTCCTGCTCTGCCCGTCCCAGTGGAGAAGTAGACGGGGCCGGGAGACAGCCGTCCCCCCGGGATGCGCGCAAGGCACCAGCACGGTGGCCAACACCCCGCAGGCCTCCGTGACGCTCACACCCACCGCTCCAACCCCCTCCTCTGACGGCGCCTGCGCCTCCCTCGCCCGCTCCCTGCCCACCCACACTGTGCGCCCCGGCAGCCAGCCTAGCGGCCAGGTCCTACCAGGGGCTGGGGGTGTCTGCAGCGTTTCCTCCCAGACCGCTCCTCCAGGAACCCGTGTCATTGCCACGCCGCCGCCAGTCCCTGGTGGATGGGTCTCAGGAACCGGGTAAAGAGGCACCGGCGCCTCCGTCTGCCCTGCACCCCCTCCTGCTGGGTAGGAGCCGGGCTGGGGGGGAAGGGGCGGCTGTGGGCTGGGCTGGGCCGGGCGGGTCTGCTCGGCTGTGGGCCACAGGGCTGAGCGGTGCCCAGGGGCGTCTGAGTAGCCCTGAGGTCCAGCAAGGTCCTGGTCGAAAGTGTTCTCTAAGGACACAGGGCGAAGAGAAAGACGTGAGACCTGAGATGTGGCTTTTGCAGCCGGAGCACACCAGACACGTTCCTGCTCACGTCCTCTTTGGAAAGCAGACACGAGGACAGGCTGCTCGCTGCGGCGTCTATGTGACGACGGGGAAGCACGGGGTGACTGCGTGTTCACAGAGTCACTCCCTCACTGCCTTGCGTGATCCGAGCCTTTAACCAGGGGTGGGGGGCAGGAATTGTCATCCTCTGTAACTCCACATCTTTTTATTTGGGGATAAACTCTTTCTCCTTTAAGGAGTTTTTAATGGACCTAGGTATTTGAAATTTAGAAAGTTTCCAGTTCAAAACCAAAATCAGACTATAGAAATGATGGTTTTGCTTTTATTTATTTTTTTTTTCTTCTGAGACAGGGTCTTGCTATGTTGCCCAGGCTGGTCTTGCATTCTTGGGCTCAAGCAGTCCTCCCACCTCGGCCTCCCGAGTAGCCGGGGCTGCGGTTGTGACACCACGCCCGGCTTTGCTGTTAAAGAATCAGAGCACGTTGGCTCTGGAAGGCGCTTTGCTGACACGATGAACTAAGATGTGGACGTGTGATTGGCACAGGTCACAGGACTGGCGTGGGCAGCCGACCGGCACGCTCCGTCAGGCGCCGGACGCAGGGCAGGGAGGAGGTGGCTGCCCAGAGCCCTGCCTGGCTCTCCTCCAGCCCTTCGCCTTCACAGAGACAGAAACCAAGACCCGCCCTCCTTCCCGAGGAAGCGCCGAGGGCTGAGCCACGGACGGAAGGGAAGAGATGAGAACCTCCCTGACCTGCCACGGGAACTCGGGAACAAGCGTGGAGTTAATGGGGACACGCTGCCCGCCAGCCTGCCGCTGAGGGGGAAGGACGCGTCTGTGCACAGTTGCACAGCAACTGACAGCTCCGAACTCAAGAGCTTCCGACGTCCCCAGTCCTAGCATACGACACAGATAAACCACAACCTCTGGACCCAAGACGGCCACCCAGCTGGGGAGGAAGTACTAGTGTAAGCAAAGCAATTAGCCAACAACACGATGCAGCACGAAAACACCCGGGAATGTCAAACCCCGAACTGCGAAGCAGAAGCTCTCAGGCTGCGGGAACCGGGAGGTGTCGGGTGCATGAGGCTGGCAGGGGCCGGGCGGAGGGGCGCCGCCCACGGGGCAGATTCACACAGGCCGGGAAGGCGCTCTGGGAGGGCGGCGAGGGTGTTTGCGCGTCCCTTTATCTCGCACAACCGGAGCCCGAGCGTCAGCTAGTCACGTCATCGGTGTGGCGTTCTGAGTACCTGCTGTCCTTCCTCGGGCTCCTGAAGGCTCCGAGCGAGCAGAATGAGGACCCGCACGGTCTCCTGTTAGCTTCCGCTGTTGAAAATAAAGTGAACCCTTGTGAGCAGCACAGAGAGAAACAGGAACAGGAATAAGGAGGCTCAAACGTCAAGACAGAAGGAAACTTCCAGGGGAGCGACAAGGTCAGGGAACCTCAGCTGAAAGCTCAGGCGCTGGGGTCGCCCTGGGCTCCCAGCCGCAACCAGAGCGGCAGAGCCCGCCCGAGACCAGCGCCGCCCCCGTCCCCGTGAAGGGCAGTGGAAGGGACGACACTGGAGGCCTCGGCGTGCGGCAGATGGAGGGAGGAGAGGCCGCGTGTGCTCCAGAAAACGCACCCTGGCCTCTCCCCGGGAGCAGAACAGGAGAAGGAGAATGAAGGAGGCCCCGTTCTGTTACTGCTCCGATACAGCCAGCGGCTTTCGCAACTGCCAGAGCAGAAGGAGAGGCCCAGAAGTCTTCTAAGCAATTGCCCTACATTTCATGAAAGTGACACGGGTCCGCCGTGATCCGCTGTTCCCAACGGGGACGGCGAAGCTTCGGTGGTCACGAAACACACGATCTGGACCTCAGGGAAGGGTGGCAAGAGTGATGGGAAGGGCGCCGCGCTGTGTCGCCTGCCAGCGCAGGAAACTGCTTCCACGCAGCCGGGACACCCAGAGCCCCGCCTTTCCCAGGACGCAGACGGTGCGTCTTGGGTGATGGCAGAGACCGCGGCACGCATGGGGCTGGGGACTCGCAGATGTCGGCGGCCACCTGTTCTAAGTTGGGGGGAGGAAGAGCGAATCAGAGGGCCCACCCCACTCACCTGCAGCCCCTCCTGCAGCCTCCGAAGCTGCGCCAGCCAATCCGGCTCCGGGCCTCTGTCTCCGCCGCGCCTCTCTACAGCCAGAGGGTCTGACAGCTTCAGTCTCTCCGCCAGCTGTGCCAGGTTTCCAGACAGGCCCGAGGCAGAGAGGGAGACCGGGAAAAGGAGAGAGAAATAAAAGAAATGCACAGATGGGGGGCAAGAGCAATGAGGGGAAAGGAGAGAGAAAGCCGCAACTCACTTGCGATTAGATGGTAAATAGTAACTGAGAAATAGCAAATTCAGCAGGTATTTTCCCGATATAAATAAACAACCCATTTTGGGGGTTAGATACTAAATAAAATAGGAGGAGAAACTCAGTCTTATTTCTCTGCAAAGCTGTCTGTTCTGCGCCAGTGTTTCTCAAACTTCCGTGTTCGTGGGAATCACCCAGAGCCCTGTTAAAATGCTAATTCTATTCCAGAGGTCTGGGGCGGGCCTGGGGGCCTGCATCTCTGACAGCTCCCAGGAGACGCTGCTACTGCTTTGTGCTTCGAGGCTTCATTCCGTGATTAAGTCCCCAAACTCTCCTAGTCACCTCTCCTGGGCCCCTGAGCTCCCTGTAACCATCAACCTGTTGGCAGAATTTTGGGGGCTCTGGGGGGTTCAGCACCACAAATTTTATGGGTTACAGAATCCAGCACTTGGGCCCCACTGAAAGCAAAACAAAAAATGAAGCTGCCGTTTTAGTCTCTAGCTAATGGGTTTTTCTTCAATTAATGAACAACTATTTGCTTGATCACTGTTTTCTTCCCTGGGAACCAAAGGTTGATATGTTTTTGTTTTTTATTTTAAATGTATCCCACATGTGATAAAATATTCCATGCATTTAAAAGCATTTTAATAAGGATCATTTCCTGTTTTAATCACCAAAATATATTTTCTAAACCCGGCTTTTGTAATTAGAATGGTTCGCTGTAGCATGCGGTTTTACTGTACCAGAAAAGCAGATGCAAGAATGGGTTTCTCGAGTAGCACACACGTGGCTTCCTGTCCCCCGTCCCACCACCGCCTGCCCAGGGCGGCCTTGTGTGCGTCGTGTTGGGCCTCTGCTTATCGCATTGGGGCACGCACGGTCAAAGCCTGCCGTGGGCTGCAATTCTACAGCGTGTTCAAAGAAGATGAAGTGTGGAGTCAAAGCTGCTCTACAATGGCTTTCTCTGAATATCGAAGATAAAACAACACAGAACCCTCTGAGAGGCTCACCTTGATGAGTTCCGCCAACAGCACAGGGTGACTGCTCTCTCCCTGGCTCAGCACGGCCGCGCCAATGGCTTCGCAGTAATGCAAGGCCTGGGACACGAGGCCGCAATCTGCCAGACGGGAAGCATAAAGGAGCTTATATACCTGCGAAGGGAACAGGGCCAGAGACTAGTCCATCCGGGCAGGGACAGGAAAAGAGAGAGAGGTGTAGATAAGGCTTCTTGGAAGTCAGCTGACTGCCGGCTTTGGATAACTCGGACATCCAAGTATCAAGAGCCTTGTGCCATTTAGAATACTTTCTCTGTGCACGGGCACAGTTACAATTCCGGCCGCGCTCCTGCGTTACAGAGGAAGGATGGGAGCCACATCGGCTCAGTCTTCCTGGGCCCTGGTCACCCTGGAACGTGTGCTGGAGCATGGACTCACCAGGCGGCCACGTCTCTGGAGGGCCTCGTGTACGTGGGGCACAGGAGCAGGCCCCACAGGGACATATAACGGCGGCAAAAACAGACCCCAACACAAGGGGCTTAAAGCCGTGGAAAGTCGTGACAAAAACAGGGGAGCTCCCGCGGACGCATGAGTGACAGGGCCAGCGTGAGGGCTTTGGTGTCGGACGGACCCAAGTTCAAATCCACGGCCCATACTAGTGTGGAACACTGGGCTAGCGACCTCCTCGCTCTGTGCCTCCGTTTCCCCACTAGTATGGCAATATGAATACTACCCACCTCCCTGGGGGATGTGAAGGATAAATGAGATAATCCACGTGAAGTACTTAGAGCAAACGGGACACAAGAGGTGTGAGCTGGCAGCAGATAAGCCCTCGGAGCCTCGGTTTCCTCTTTTGTAAGGGGGGCAATTGTGTCCCCCTCGCAGGATCGGAAATAACACACACGAAGCGGAACGGCACGGTGTTGGGCATGGAGAACACAGTCATAAAACTGGTTCGTGTCATGGCCGTCGGCCCAAAGCTGCACCCAAATAACCGGAGGTGAGATGAAAGAAGAAGGGAAAGAAAAAGAGGCCACGGTGCCCGGAGAGAAGGCACGAAGAGGAGCTGACCCGGCAAGGCTTTGCTCGCAAAGGTGCGTCTTTGGCAAAACGCTTAGAGAGGAGAAGACACAAATGGGTCGTTTCTCCATAACACAGCCATTCGCGAGGTTTTACGTGTTCTGTGCGGTGTCCGTGTGCGTGTGTTGCTGTGGCCGTGTGCGCTCTGATGCCACGCGCTGAAGGAGACAGGAAGCATCGCTGGGAAAGGTGGAGCCAAGAAGCTACTTCAGGCAGGAAGATGCGGTGTCTGCGCAGGAATGACGGGGCACCAGGCCGCGTGGGCTCCACGCCAGCTGGGGCCGCGCTGTGGCTGCAACGGTCTCCACGCCGTGCTGGCGCCCTGCAGAGCCTGACTACTCCCTCTACTGCCAGCTCCATCGCGGGCCACCACTGTTGCCCCTGAGGCCACTGAGGGCCACCCCTTCCGTCACACGGGTCAGAGGGGTGAGGGGAACTTCACGAGCAAAGGGACGATGCCGGATCTTGGGGCACACGGAGGATTGGGACAGGAGGACGACACGATGTCAGCGGTGGTCCTTATGAACCTCAGGTGACACGGGGACATCAAGCAGAGAAGTTGAAAGAAAGGACAGAGGCAGGCGCCACCTGCACAGCTGAAGCCCTGAGGGGGAGAAGGGAGGTGAGGGCCCAGGACAGAGCAGGAGATCCCAGAGGGAGGAGACGGAGGAGCCCAACGGGGCCGAGAAGGAGCCTCGGAAGGAGGGCAGGGGTGGGCAGCGCGTGGCCGGGCTGGTGCCGCTCCCTCCTGGGAGGGTGGCCGTGCAGGCTCGGAGGAGGCAGAGCTGTCTGGGGAGAGGAGAGCAGTCCGGGAGTGAGGTGCGGGGCAGGGCCGCGGGCACGACTTCCGCAGTCGGGAGCAGGCAGGAGCCCCTGGCAGCGAGGCCTCGGCAAGGCCCTGCTTCCGTGTCATAAAATGCAGACCCAAACCTTCCACGCTCCAGCTGATGAGGGACATGCGGGAGACGAGTCACCCCCAGGTGCCGGCGCCGACGGCAAGGCGGGACCCGCCGCCACAGCTACACGGCACAGCGAGCGCGGCCTGCTCTGGGCCCAGTTACCTGGAAGGAGGGGATGAAGGATTCGGGGCGGCCCAGCAGCCGGCAGTACTCGAAGACTTCCGTCCTCTGCATCGCCTCCGTCGTTGCAAATTTCCGGAACTCTTGACTGAAACGGGAGAATAACAACACAAGAGACTGAGGTGTGCGGGGGGAGGGGCGCAGGGTCAGATCCCAGCAGACGCCACACGCCAGCTGCGTCCTCCCACGGTAGGCTCCGTCCCGGGCTGACCCCTGAGGCAGCTTCGGAGGAGGAAAGAGACCTGGGCCCGGAGTGGAGGTTCCGCCTCCTTGAGGCTGTGGAGGGGACGGGAGGTGCTGGGGGACAGGCTGCGGGAACCAGCTGAGGGGGGCCCCCACCTCTCGCTGCCGGGCAGCGACTTCAGGCACCCTGTCCCGAGGGGCACGGGGCCCCTCCTTACGCACGCGGAGAGCCAGCCTGCGTGCCCCCAGCGCCGGCACGCAGCTGTGAAAGACACCCCCCGTCCGAGCAAACTGGTATGCAAGAGGGGCCGTGTGACGCCCAGGAACACGGGGACAAGAAGCTGAGGCAGAGGGTGAGAGGACTGCTGAGCCAGAAGTCCAGATGACAGCCTGTTCTGCCGGCGAGGAAGACGGCCGGGTGGGTGCGCCCCGGAATCTCTCCCCAACGACTCACCTGGTGTCAGAAATCGCAGTCACCAGGTTATTCCTGGGGGTCAGGGCTTTCTCTGCAGAAATTCCCCGTGCAACACAAACACAGGCGGGAGCCGTGTTACCCACATACACCTATCGTCACATAGGCACAGAGGGGCCTCTTTGACACGCTGTGTGCCGTGGGAGAGCAGGGCCTGGGGAGCAGGCTGGACACGGGAGTGTCGCTGCAGCCGTGGCCGCTGGGGGCGAGAGCTGGGAGCGAAGGCTCCGCAGCCTGCGTGCCCGGATTCCAGATCCGACTCGACCGTGCGCGAGCTGCGCTACCTCAGACAAGTTATTTAACCTCTCCGTGCCTTGGTTCTCCTCTACACGTGAAGATTAAAGATACACATTCCTCGTAGGGTAACTTTGTTAGCAATTAAAGGAAATAGTGCAAAGAAAATGACCCACACAATGTAAGATTTTGGCAAATCTTCAGGAGGGGGCCAGAGAGACGCAGAGCGGGGAGGACAGCGGGGAGCACACTGGCCCGCCCATCGATGCCTCCTCTAGGGGCTCACTGGGGTCCCTCTGTGCGGAGAATGAGGGATCCGTGGACTCTAAGCAGCTTGTGTGCTGAGTCACTGTGGGGGCGCCAGGGCCCAAACAGGGACAAAACACAACCATGTTCTGCTTTCCCGTTCTGCCCCGGGCGGGCTTTCAGAACACGCCCACGGCCCCCTAACGCAAGGCACAGGCCCTCACCTAGACCACTTGTTTTTAGGGGCCATCTCTGGCTGTGGAGCCAGGGTGCCACCTGGTGTCCAGGAGGGCAACTGCGGCCCAAAGGCAGCAGCCTGCCACCTCCCAGCGCAGGACGTGGGGCCAGGCCCCCGGGCTGTGATACGGTGTCCACTGGACACCCCCTCGCCAGACGCGCACAGGGAACAGTCCCACGCACGGGGCCAGCAGTCGCTGACGCAAGAACGCGGAAAATGGAGACAGGGAACCCAGCAAGGGCTAAAATAACCCCCTGGAAAACGTCCTTCCCATTTCCGCCCCGCCAGGTCGCGTACCTGTGGCTGCTGCCCAGCAAGGCCAGGCGGTCCGTCTTCACGGTGCAGTAGCCGAAGGGCAGGCGGGCCACCAGGTAGCAGAAGTGAGCCGCCTCCACCAGCCCCTTCCCAGCTGCAGGAGGAGCAGAACGGGCCGGTCACGGGGGCCACCACGAGGCCCGTCTGGGCGGGACGGGAGGGAGATGCAGGAGCGGACCCCACCCGGGGGCCGCGGGGAGAACCTCAGGGGGGAGGTCCCCCGGCTTGGTTGGGGGCCCCCAACCCCGGGGTTCCCCCCGGCCTTTTTGGCTTCGGCGTTCCGTTTTTTTTCCGGCGGGACCAGGCCCCCTTTTCCGTTCCCCGGGGGGGTTTTTGTTTGGCACTTTTGGGACTTTTGTTCTTCCCCAGGGTTGGGGGGGGGGTTCGGGGGGCTTTCCTTGGGCGGGGGGGGCCCCTGGGGCGGCAGCTCTTGAATCGGGCTTCCCGGGGCCGCTGCTCCCCTGCTCGAGTCGAACGATGGAAGACTTTTCCCAGCGCTTGTGAAATCACATTCGTTTCCAGACTGTTCCCGATTTTAAAATGTTCTCCCGCATGTTTTCCATCGCCTCGAAATTGAATCCACTCAGGTGGGCGTTGCGCGTGGCACACGCCTGGCCCTCGGGGAGGGCCCCGCCAAGGCCAGGGCGCGACCCCGCTGACCTGGCGCGACCCCACACGCAGGGACTCTGTCTGGCAGAGCACAGGTCGCAAAGCCCCTCAGGAACACCGTGATTTCTAGATGTTCTGCCCCTCGGCCAAATGAGAGAACCACCAATCTGGAACATCTATAAGGCCACGTTCCCAGAGAAACGATAGAAATAAAAGCTACGGAGTTACCCAGGGTAGTTCAGGCAAAAACATAATTTCCTGTCTGACTGAACTGGTCGCTGGGGGACGGGTGTCAGCAAGAGGGCAGGTGGCTCGTGAGTTCACTCCGTCTACAAGGGAATCCCCCCCGGAGCGGAAACCCGTCTGCCGGCAGGAGACCCCCACGGCAGCGGAACGCCACGTCCCTGGGCGTGGACCGCACCGGCTCGCACCAGAAACTCCGGGAAACAGAGGCAAGAAGGGCACGCCTTTCCCTGGAGCTGCTTTCCCCAAAACACGGGGGCTCCGGGAAGAAGCCCGGGGCACAGACTCTGGCCGTGCACAGAACCGAAGGCTAAGCACGAGATGCTCGCAGCCGCCTGGACCACCCAGAGGAGAGGAGGGGACGGCGTCTGCTCACCCAGCGTGTCTCCCATGGTGACGACGGCTCGCTGGCGCAGCTCCGCGTCCCCGGCCTGATTGGACAGAATCACAGCCAGGTGGGGCCTCCAGTCTCCCCACTGCTTGTCCCCGCAGCACTGGAAAACAGCGGAACACAAGGGAAATGCGCGGGAGCGTTTGGGGCTGGTGGGAACGCAGGCGAACGCGGCCGCCGTCTGTGTCCTGTGTGGAGTCCGGGGAATGCCCACCGCGCGCCCGCAACGCCGCCGTCCGTGGACTTAGAGTCCTCCTTCCCCACAAAGCAAAACCCACGGAGGGACGGACAGACAGGAGGACAGATAGATGCACATAGATACATGAAAACACAGGGATATTGGGAAATAAATAAAATGACACTGTTGGTCACTTACTAGTTTTCAAATTTCCTCCCAGGGCCCCGACCCCAAATAGCCAGACACAGAACCCAGAACCCCGCCGCGTCAGTGGGGGCAGAAACCGAACATCCTGAGCTCCCGGGCGGAGGAGACCACCGCTTGTCACGGCAGCGGGTGAGCGTAGGCCTGCTTCGCGCCCTGCCAAATGGGCACCGTTCTCTGTTTTTACAAAGTCCTCTCACACACATCGTCTTATTTAACCTTCACGACAACCCTATGAGGTCTGGCTCCCACCGCCACTTTAGGAGTGAGGAGATCAAGCCACCTGGGCCCAGGCGGGACTCAGTCCCCACTCCCCTTCCCCGCCAAGGACTGGCCCATCCGTCCGGTGGCGCCGCAGAGACAGCAGGACTCCAGCAGGGGCAGCAGGGAGTGACCAGAGGCGTGGGGCCACGGCAAAGCCCCACAGACACTGTGCTGTCCCCACAGTCCTGCCCTAGGGCCTCCCTTCTAAAGGAGGAGACGTCGAGGCAGAAAACATCAACAGATAATATAACGTCATGGAAGCAGCGCAGGCCCGAGATTCAGCCTGAGTCCTGCACCCACTGCTGTGTTACCCTGAGCACTTTGAATCTTTGTTCTCTTATCCCTAAAATGGAGATCACAGCTGCTACCTAGCAAGGTCAGTGTCGATAACAAAACAGGACAGCAAGTAAAGCACACAGCGTGGTGCTTCACACTTGGTTCGCACCTTGTAAATGACATGCAGGTGTGAACTCACACACGGTCTGAGCTCAGCCGAGGAAAGAAGTCATTTGCAGGCCCTTCTAACTTCCGGTTTGTTGCACAGATGGGGAGAGCGGGGAGATTGACAACAATAACTAGGAGCTGGAGGTCGAAACTATTCCCGATTATGTGGTCTTTGTGTAATAATTATACCAAGGAATAAAAGATGCTTTATCCAACTCCAACTCCGTTTTAGGCTCACTCCTTGTCTGCCCGGGCAATGCAGTGCCCATGAGGATGATGAGGATGATAACAGATCATGACAGTGACAGCAGCTCTCGTTCGTCACACTCAGACCACGAACCCACCCTGTGCTGAGCGTCTCTCCTACCAGTGGGCACAGGGGCCAGATGCCATCATTGCCCCATTTTAACCTGTCAGCCTGGTCCCTTCCCGCTGGAGCCAAAGGAATCAGTGAAAGAGAAGAAAAGCCCTTGCTTAAAAAATAAAAAAAAATTTTAAAAAAACACACAAAAACTTGGAAGTCATTATTCTGTCTCCTCCCTGGGTGATTTGGAAAAAAGTCACTGTAAGTAGATGGACGGGGTGGGGCGGGGAGAGAGAACACAAGCGTTTATTCACGAACGTCCAGGGGCCACGCCTGCTGGTTGATGTGTTCAGATAGTCTCTCTCCTTTAATTTTCAGAATAACTACAGGCTAGGCACTAAAATCCCCACCAAGCTGAAAACCTGAGGCTCTGTGAGCGTGAGGCGCACAGCCAAGCTCGCGCGGCAGTGAGGGGCGGAGTCCAGGCCAAACGCGCAGGAACCGCGTCTACGCTGTGCGGTTGCCACGCTCCTCCACTGCGCCGGGTACCCCGGGTAACCGCAGCCTGGCCTTTTGGTAGATGCCAGGATGCAGGAAGCATCCAGACTCTGAGATCAAGCACTGCATTGGCACACGACCTCTGGCTCCTCGGCCGTCTCACCTAAAGTAGGGGAAATATAGCTCCCTTTCCTCTTGCAATAAGACCCAATGGACCATCGCTAATTTTATCCTTTCCTGAACTTAGTGCTTGGCGACACGATGCAGTTTTGCTGCAGAGCGGGGGACAGTCAGCTGAGTTGCGGGGCACACTCTGGGTTACAAAACAGCCAGTTGATTGAGGGTGGGCATGAAAGCCATCATTTCTCTTTTCTTCTTAGAATTATCCGCAAGCAACGAGAAGGACAAAATGCAGAAGCGTGAAGTCCATTTTCATTAAAACTTGTGTTCATCGCGAACACATGTACCCTATAAATATATACAACTCTTACGTACCTATAATGATTAAAACGAAAAAAATGTTTCAAACCCAAGCCTCGAGATACGAGAAAAGGCTGCCAAGAGTGCTGAAGATCGAACGGAGGTGCGTTCAGGAGGAAGCAGAGAGAGGACACGAGGGAGAGGGTCCCCCAGTCCTCTCCACGGGCGGGGAGAAGCTCAGGCTACACAGGCTCACACGGAAAACTCCGGGTCATGCGGAAAGTGCCAGATGGCCTGGAATACGGCCCTCGCCCCTCCCCAGCACAAACCTCACGTAAATAACTGGCCCGGGAAAGATTCAACTCCTTTAGAGGTGCATAATGGCAATGAATGAGCACAGAATCTGTGCAAAGATGCCATAAGATAGGAGGAGGAATGTAACATGTAAAATAAACAGAGGGCAGAGAGAACATTCACCACAAAGATGTTACCACGAAACAACCAAACATTTCACCAAACATTTCATTGTGAATTTAAGTAAAATAGTGAAACAATTTCTTCTGCAACCAAGAGTATAAATCTGAGCTGTAGGAGCTCAAGGAAGAGACGGTGGACCACGGTGGAGACTGCAGAGCTCGGGAGCGAGGCGGGGCAACCAAACAACACAGACGGAAAGCGGACAGCAGGAAGCAGAAACCTGGTGAGAACAGACTGGGAGACACAGAGGGTGGAAAGAAGGAAAAAGGAAAGAGGGAAAGATGAGGAGGGAGGGGGAGGAGGGAAGGGAGGGAGAGAAAGAGAGAAAAGAGAGAAAAATTATATATATAATTCACATTCATATATACTGCATATATACATGGAGTTCCTGAAAAGAAAACCAATAGAATGGAACAAAACTAACATTAAAGGATATAATTTAAGAAAAGCTCCCTGAATGCTAAGCTGTGATGTCCATACTAAAAGAGCACGCCGTATGTGCCCCAAGAAAAACCCGACCCAGAGAGTCAGCGCCGGGTTATGACCCAGTCAGGGTCCTAGACTCTAAAGATGAGGAGGGGATGCTCTGGAACAAAAAGACCGAGTCTCTCCTAACGAGAAAACCATCAAGCTGGCCTCAGACTTCTCCTCAGCCACATTCCACTCTGGAAGATGCGAACTCAGCGCGCCCAGCTCCGAAGCCCCGTTGCGGGGTGGGCGCTGTCCTGCAGGGGGTGGGGGCCCGCTGGGGCGGCCTGGAGGACAGGCCCAGGCGCGCTGGCGCAGGGGCGGCGGGGGCGCTGGGCGAGGGCGAGGTGCAGGCTCTGCCAGGTCTGGGGCTGTCTCGGCCCCACGCCTCGTTACCGTGAACCTCAGGTCGTTTCACACCTTTGCCCTCAGTTTCCACATCTGCAAGACGGACGGTAAGTCCCGCCTCCACGCGTTACGCGAAATATACGCATGAAAGCCCTTAGCGCGGCCGGCACAGGGAGCTGAGGAACAGACTGGGTCCCCACGCTGCATCCTGAAGGCCGTCGCTGCGTCCTGAGCAGCCCCCACGCCCCCCAGCCCTCAGGACGCCGGGGCGTTGAAGAAATCCCATCACGACAGTACCGTGGCTGCTTGTGGAATCCTCCCCGACATGAGCTGGAAGAGGGTCTGCAGGGGGTCGTTGAGCGCCAGTGTGTTGGTGAAGCTGCGGAGAGAGGGACAGTCGGCGGGGGCCACGCCCAGGGGCCCCTCCCATTGCCAGCGAGGCTCCGGGCCTCGCGTGTTTCTGTTTGGTTCTGGCACCTTCCTTTGGAACGCGAGCATCTCTGTGCCTTCTGCTGCACGTCTGTCACCCTCCTTTGGGGGAGATGGGCAGGGTCTTCATTCTGCCACACTCCCCAGGTAGATCTCATCATCAGGGGCACTTTCTGCACCCCAGCCCTGACGGCTAATTCTGGAACCACCACTTGTGTAGCTTTGTCCTATCACTGAGACAACCCACCGCCATCGCAAAGCCCCTGGGGGGGCCGCAGCGGTTTAGCTAGAAGCTCCTCTCCATGGGCCCCTCCTTCCCCAGCTCCCACCCGCCCCACGGCCCTCCCCGGGCCAAGTTCACAGCGCTCAGAGCTGTTTGTCTGGCTCATCACAAGCCGGGTCTGTAGCACTTTTACTCGCAAGCACTAAACAGCCATTTCAGTAACCAAAGGGGCGTGGAGCAGGGACCAGCAACGATCCTGCTGATGACAGGCCCTGGGAGGTGCTCAACGAGGACACGGCAAGCTCTACAGCTGACGTGGGAGTGAGGCGTGCTCCATAAGAGGGATTTCTTACAATTCATTGGGCCCCGTCAAGAATCAATGGCCCAGGGCAAAAATCTGTAGCAGAGACGTACGCCACAGCAAGAGGCCGTGGGATGTTCGCTTGCAGAACCCAGAGGAAAGCCAACCCTCAGAACGCCACCGTTCACAGCACCCGGGCCGCAGGCGCTCCGTGCACTTATCGCAAGAAGGCTTCGGGGTTCCTCGCCATTCCAGTCTCGGGCACAGCGCAGTGCGCGGTGGCACCGCTGCTCCCTGGGAAGACTGAGGGCCAGAGCAAGAAAGAGTCGGCTGAGGCCATCGTCGAGAATAGACACCCAGGGAGGGTGACAGCCATGAGGCCCGCGGACTGCACGTCAAGTGGACGTGTCCGGCTAATCCAACCTCTGCCCAGCAGGATTTCGACAACCCAGTGTGCATCAGGCCGAGAGGGTGGCTTCACAGCTTTAACCAGCACTAGGGGACAGACACTCTGAGGCAACATCCTTCTCACTGTCTGACCCAAGCCTGCTCCTCGCAGGGGCCCTGCCCCACCCACCGCAGGTTGGTCCCCGGCAACCCACGGATGCCGGCTGGGCCCGGAGGACTCACTCGGAAACCCTCCTCCACCAGCGCCCTGTACCCACCGCCTCCTCTCCATCCTGATCCTCGGTTACTGTCCATCTCCCTCATTCCAAACGCCCGGCTGCGATGCCCCCTGCTTCCCTGCCCGTCTCATCCTGGTTTGGACGTCCGTCCTAGTCCTCCGCCCTGGCGCCCAGATCACGGGGTGCTGGCGCAATGTCTAACTCGGCAACCCAGTCTCAGCACCCTCCGCTGCCGCACATGTGGACTCCCGGATCTAATTCCCGGTCCTGTGACTCCTCTTCCTGGCCTGGCTCCCGGTCCGCCACCCCGTCCCCCACCACGCTCACCCCCTGCAGCCCCGCTGCAAGAGTAAGCAGCGGGCGACTCCTCACACCAAAGCCCTCAGCTCTAAGGCCCTGCCGGGTCAACTCAAGCTATCACCTTTCCCTCACTACTGGAACTTGCTAGAATAGCCCTCCCAAAGAGAGAAGATGACCGCAGTTTAGAAATATACTTAATTTTTGGAAACTCTGGCCCTGGGAAACTTTACTAAAATGTTTTATTCAACTTAGCAGGTAGAAAGAAGGCATCTGTGTCTAGGTTATAAGAATCTGGAAGAGAGAAATTCTATCTTCAGCTCAGAAAAGAGAACCTGGAAAGAAGCTTGCAGTGTGTGGCTTCTCAGAGCATCTGGCGTCTGTCCCCACCCTCAGCACCACCTTTGGGGGGGCCTCGCCGCTCCAGCCATCTGCTTTCCAAGTCCGACTCACCCGCTCATGACCCAGCTGTGGGTCCTTGGGTCCATCTTGCTGGCTAGGAACAAAGCGTGACCCCACAGGTGGTTCTTCATGGCCCACTCCAAGGCTTCCTGAAAACCAAACATCACATTCGACAGTGCCTCGCCCAGCTTCCTCTAACAACAGCTTCCTGCACTCAGGCCCGGCTACATCACGAGCAGTAGAGGCTGGGCTTCCAGAAAACTCTTAGGGCCTTCCATCCGAACATGAAAAAGGAATAGCAAGGAGCCAGGCTCTAACTGGCGCGGTATCTTTCTTTAGCCTCCGCTTTGTCAAAATCCATAATGCCATGCCATTAGCTTCCCTCAAACACAGTTGCCAGTCAGCCCTATCTCGTTAGCAGAAAGTACCGAACATTTGAACGAACCTAAGCGCCAAAAGTGGGAGAAGCACGAGTCTCAAAATATAAGTAGCAAAACGGTACTGGTGGGGGCATACCAAAGGAACGGTGCCTTTTCTAACTGTGGCGGAGCCTGCCGGTTGCTCACCAGAATCCCTGTTCTCCTTCCTGGGCAAAGAGCTGGACCCCAGTTTCCTGTCCGCTGGCACCTGCGTGTGGCTGAGTTCTAGGCCATGGGATGGGAATGGACTGAGTGCTGCCTCCAGGTTTACCCACAAAACTACCCACACGCAGGTCCCCGTGTGTTTTTCCCCACCTGGTTGCCTGGAACGGAGAGGACTCCTGGGAAACCTTAGAAACTACACGTTGAGGACAGCAGAGGCTGCGACGTGCTGATGAGCTGGAGGAGGGCTGCCCACGGGCGTGCTCGCCAGCCCGGTGCTCTTACGGGAATAGAACCAAACTGCCGTTACAGTTCAGTCGGTACATGTGGCAGTTAGCCTATCCCGCCTAATACTGTACTAATTGCTTGTTAACTACCAAGTACTTTCATGTGCCAAATTACCGACACCATTAACCAGGTGAAGCAGTTCAAATTTTAAAACATACGCAAATATGTACCGTTTCATTCCATTTTTGGAATTATTTACCAAGGGCTTATTTATACGTGAGATTTTAAGCTGGTATCAATAACTTTATATTAAAATAATATGATTTTTGGACGGAAATCACTAACGAGGTAACTCCACCTCCAGTTGAAAAGTTCTTTAATACTCCCTCATGTGTTCTTATCCGAACAGAGCGAGGGTGCCAATTTAAGCAGACACATTTAGGGAATTCAGCCACACATACAATTCAAGTAAAAAAAATGACATTAAGAGTTTCTCCTTTTGTATGTTTTAGCTATTTAATAATCTTTTTCTAAAGCAGTTACTAATGCTTGGTTGGGAATCACCAAGTTTATTCAAAATCTGCTCCTCCAAAACTATAATTTAAGAATAAGTGAAGAAATTGAGAATTTATATTAAGAATATCAATTTCACACGATGCCAGAAATAAGACCCCAATCAAATATGAATAAATGTTCTGAAGTATCGATGTCCTTTCCTTGTGAACAATCCTGAACTCCTGCAGTTCTCCATCTAGCTCTGGCTTACCTTGGGGTCAAGGTATGAAAGGTGGCGTGTGGGTGGTTAGAAAGAAGCCCAGGCTCAGGCATCGGACTGCCTAGATCTAAACCCTGGCTCTACCCCTTACC